ACCAGGGATTGAACCTGTGCCCACTGCAGAGGAAGTGCAGAGTCCTAGCCACTGGACCGCCAGGGAAGTCCCAGGGACCTCGCCTTTTACCTTTGAGTTGATGGCTTTTCCTAGACACCCCAAGTTCTAACTGCCTAGAGGAGAGGAGCATCTAAGTGCTGCTGTGGAGGAGGATTGTGTTCATCTTAACTCCAAGGAAAAGAACAACTTTCAAGTGAGTCTCCTCTCATCATATAACATTCTTTAAAAAGCCTTCTTGCAAAAACCCACGGGTGAGTCCCGCTAGCTCCGTTCTGCTGGTGAGATTGTGGGTGTCCTTTAGTGCCTTTCAGCTCAGATTGGAAGCAAAACACCTCCAGGCCTTACAGACTGAAGGACGTCATCAGGAAAACCCAGAGGGAGTTTTCCTCTTGGTGTGCCTAAGCTGAACCCATCTCTGCTAGGAACTATTACTTTGTGCATCTGACACGTGGTCAGTTGTTGAAGTTCTGGCTCAGGCTCACATGGAAAAATGCTTGCATAATAGCACAGGGTTCATGTTGGTGAGGGAATGGTGTCCTATGGGATTCTCTTAGATAATATGTATTCGGGGACAAAGGACCAGTTGGGAGCAGTGTGGATGACTCTGCCTATAAGCAACTTACATCTTTAGCCAACTATTGCCTAACAAATGTAGATCAGCACGGCCAAGATAATTTGTAAAATGTCTCTTTCTTCCAGGATTAAGAAGGGTGAGGGAAAAACACTTATGATACAGTAAGTGATAAGGAGCCAACATGTCAGTGGTTTTCTTCCCAAGCCAGAGAGATTTATTCACTCATCCATCAATCCAACAAATTATGTGGCTTATGATATGGAGGTGAATATGACATACTTCCTACCCTCACAGAACTCAGTCTAGTAACAGACACATATTTAGATAATTCTAACATGATCTAGTAAGAGAGAAGTGCATTAGATTTTTAAAAATAAATTTATTATTTTTTAATTTATTTGGTTAGTTTTCGCTGTATTGGGTCTTTGTTGCCACACACCGGCTTTCTCTAGTTGCGGCCAGCAGGGGCTACTCTTTGTTGCGGAGCACGGGCTCTAGGTACACGGGCTTCAGTAGTTGTGGCCCGTGGGCTCTAGAGCACAGGCTCAGTAGCTGTGGTGCACGGGCTTAGTTGCTCCGCAGCATGTGGGATCTTCCCGGACCAGGGCTCGAACCCGTGTCCCCTGCACTGGCAGGCGGATTCCTAGCCACTGTGCCACCAGGGAAGCCCCAGTGCATTAGATTTTATGAGAATATTTTGGAAGGGCATCTAACACAGCTTAAGGTGGGTAGGGAATGGGGTAAATATCAGGGAAGGCTTCCTGGAGGTAGTTACATCTACATTTTTTTGTTTGTTTTTAATATTTATTTATTTATTTTGGCTGCACTGGGTCTTAGTTGTGGCACGCGGGATCCTTCGTTGCGGCATGCAGGCTTCTCTCTAGTTGTGGCACTCAGACTCTCTAGTTGCGGCGTGCAGGCTCAGTTGCCCCATGGCATGTGGGATCTTAGTTCCCTGACCAGGGATCAAACCCATGCCCCTGTGTTGGAAGGTGGATTCTTAACCACTGGACCACCAGGGAAGTCCCCACGCAGGATCATTTAGTTGTGGGCGTTTGGGATCCTTTTAGTTGCGGCATGCGGACACTTAGCTGTGAAATGCAGGATCTAGTTCCCTGACGAGGGATTGAACCCAGGCCCCCAGCAGTGGGAGCGCAGAGTCTTAACCGCTGGACCACGAGGGAAGTCTCTACATTGGTTTTAAAATAATCAGAAAGTGCTTTGTTGGCTGAGGAAGGAAAGAGGGATGGGCATGTGGGTGGGGGTGGGGTGAGTGGATGGTGATGTTCCAGGAAATAGACAGTGTCTGCCAAGGTATTGAGGGGACACAGACTTATATTCTGGCAGTGCTTGTTTGAAAAATTTTTTAATAAATTTATTTATTTAATTAATTTATTTATTCTGCCTGTGTTGGGTCTTCATTGCTGTGCGCAGGCTTTCTCTAGTTGCGGCGAGCGGGGGCTACTCTTTCTTGCGGTGCACGGGCTTCTCATTGCGGTGGCTTCTCTTTGTTGCTGAGTACGGGCTCTAGGTGTGCAGGCTTCAGTAGTTATGGCATGCAGGCGCAGTAGCTGTGGCTCACGGGCTCTAGAGGACAGGCTCAGAAGTTGTGGCACACGGGCTTAGTTGCTCTGCAGCATGTGGGATCCTCCCGGACCAGGGCTTGAACCCTAATCCCCTGCATTGGCAGGGCGGATTCTTAACCACTGCGCCACCAGGGAAGTCCCTTGTTTGAAATGTTTATTGGACATCTGTAGAAATGTCACGTAGGCAAGTAGAGGTGTGTGTCTGCAGTTCCAAGGCAAGAACAGAGCTGGAGATCTAGATTTGGCAGTCACTGGTAAATACATGGTATTTACACCTGTAAATATCTGTAAATACTGAATGAAGTTGCCCAGAAGAGTGTGAAATTAGAGAAGAAGACCCAGAGAGACAGGATTGCCTTAATATTTAGAGGGTGGTCTGAGAGGAGGAGCCAGCAAAGGAAGCTGAAAGGGGTGCCTAGAAAGTTTGGGGGGAACTAATAATGTGTCAAGAAAAAAAAGGGTCTCATTAAGCATGGGGTGATCAGCAGCTTCAAATGCTTTGGGGAAGGAGAGAAAGAGAAAACCAAAGAAGTGACCATTGCATTTGGTAACTTGAAGGCCGTTAATGACCTTGACAGAAACTGTTTCTGTGAAGTAGGAGGGACAGAGCCATAGCGCAGAGAATGGAAGATAGAATGGAAGATAAGGACAGGGAGATGAACAAGAGCAACTCTTGTCTTTGGGCTAATGGGTCTTCTGGCCTCTCTTCCTAAGTGCCATTCAAAGGAAAGGGAGGGAGTTTGTGGTCCACCGAAAAGACTGCCCAGGGTCAAAAAGTGCCAGGTCACTCATACCAGGGCTCCAGAGGGCACTGATCCTTGCTTATTAGGCTCATCTCAGCTTCCACAGACATGTAGTACTTTCAAGACTCTATGTAATGTTCTTAGAACAGCACACAGCACATAGTCAGTGCTATATGAACTTTTGTTAAAATTATCCCAGTTTCTAGGCAAGCTCTTTGGTGCCTAAGAAGAACAAATCATTTATGTAGACCAAATCATTTTTCAGGAAGTGCGAAGACATAAATCTTAACACATGGCAAAGAATGAAGCATAAAAAAGAAAAACGACTTGTGTATAGGGGTGCCAGTCCTCTAGTTTAATGATCTATTCTCTCTTCTCTGGTTAAGGTATTTTAGAGAGCATAGGATTGAGCTATCGAACAAGGGCAGAGAACATGAAAAGGAAAACAAAGAATAAAGGCATATCCAGAGAAATACGTTTACGAAATCAACCAAAATAGAAGTCAGTACCACACACACTGCATTAAAGTTTTGTATCTTTCAGGTAGCTGAGAGATGACAGATACAGGGTAGATTTTTAGTTTTGGTTTGTTCCTTGGTTAGATGAAAAATATTAACGTAGAAACGGAGGAATAATAATACAACGGTGCAGCTGTTCCACTGTGGAGGAATTTTGAAACCGAACTGCTCCGCAGATCAAGAATAAGGCAGAGGGCTTCCCTGGTGGCGCAGTAGCTGAGAGTCCGCCTGCCGATGCAGGGGACATGGGTTCGTGCCCTGGTCCGGGAAGATCCCACATGCCGCGGAGCGGCTGGGCCCATGAGCCATGGCTGCTGAGCCTGCGTGTCCGGAGCCTGTGCTCCGCAACGGGAGAGGCCACAACAGCGACAGGCCCGCGTACCAGAAAAAAACAAAACAAAAACAAAAACAAAAACAAAAAACAGAATAAGGTAGAAAGTGGAGATAATGGAGAGGAAGTGTAAATAATCATAAACTTCTCCTTGATCTCTGAATGCCTTATCACTCCTTTCTGCCTGAAGGTTAAATCCTGGATGTTTTCACAGTTTTCATGTGGAAATTGTGGTTCTCTATCTTACAGGAATATTGTGGAGATTAAGTGAGATATGTAAAGTGTACAGTATGTAGTGACTGCATCTTTAGTGCGTCTTTGAAAGAAGTACACATCCCCTCTTGACTGATGACTGGTGTTTCCACTTTATTTTTTTCCTTATACCCTTTAACTCCACTGAAGATGCTTTCAATACAAATCTAATAATAACTGCAGCTAACGTTTATCATGTACTCAAATTAAGTCATTTAATCTTCGAAACCATTCTATAAGGTAGGATTGTTACCCTCATCTCGTGCGTGGAGTCAGCATTTGGCCTCCTGGCTTCAGAGCGCATCTTAACTACTATTTCTACACTTTTGGCCGGACAGGCCTGGGCCACCCTTTCGGGCATATTCTGCTGCTAGCAAACTGAGTTTTCTTTTTTGAAACCATTCTTAACTGCCTTCCTTTGCCAAGGGCTCTCGCCTCAGTTCCAGGGCCCATAAGAAGGTAATTTAATTCACCCAGATGGCACCAGCCCAGCTACGTCCTCCTCAGATCCGCGAACTTTCACCTTGGCTGAGCAACGAGTCAGCGCTACCGTCCCTGTATTTCACTGGCCGCGGGGCTGCCCCGCAGTGTCATTATTTTAAGTAGCAATACAGTACGGGTATTCTCTGCAAAGACACAGGACCCCACCAATCTCTACGAGCGACCACGTTAACTGGACCACTGAGACGGCCCCAGAGTCCAGGCACTGGCGCGACGGTGCGGGCACCGATGTGCAGCAGGACCTCGGACTGGGACTAGCAGGGCGGGCAGAGGGGAAACCGCCTGACACAGGGAGCGCGCGGGCCAGGCCGGAGGGGACGCAGCAGGCGGGGCGAGGCAGGAAGGGGCGGGGCGAGGCGGGAAGGGGCGGGGCCAGGA